TCTGTCGGAGGTTTCCACTACCTTGGAGCTCACAATCTCCGCCGCTCGGTCAAAGATCTTGGCGGCCTTAGCTGCGAGCTGCGCTACTATGCTGAGTAGTGAAGACTACATTCATAGACATGTAAAATGAATAAACTATGTACTATATACTATATACTATATACTATATACTACATACTATTTACTATATACCGTACTATATACTATATACTGTATACTGTATACTATATACTATATACTATATACTATTTACTATATACTATATACTATATACTTTTTGTTATATGCTATATGCCATATGTTTTATGCTATACACTATACACTATTAACTATAGACTATAGACTATATATAAATATATATAATTATATATATATATATAATATGTATACACATGCGGCTAGATTAGATTAGATTTTATATAGATTCTGATATAGAATTGGAAATCATGCCAGGATGAACGCATTGAACACATGCTCAAAATCTGCTTGCAAGTCCCAACATTGATTGCATCTGTTGTTCCGTAGCTATGTTTACCGGTGTCTTTTATATGTGTCCAAAACCTCTAAATCCTCTCCAGTTGCCATGGTCCATGGTCTCATTCCTAGGGGAACCCATTTGGTCAACAAATCTACTGACTTTGCGATCTCAAATCAATTGCATCTGGCAGGGAGCCCAATTTAATCCAATCTATCAGGATTTGCCTCTGGCATGTCGAAGTGCGTTCATTCCTACAGGACAAAACGATCCAACACGTCGTTTTCTCCGTCTGTACAGGCGCAAATTTACCCTAGACCTTGGAACCGTCCACGAAATCATAATGGAACCATTTCTGGTCGCAGTCACACTAGGCTATTAATAACCCATTCACCATGTGTCTTTGCGTTGTTGACCCTTTCTTGTGAAAAAAGAACACAAGCACTTGTCACAAGTCCTCTTGACTACCCAGTGCCAAGCCCCAAAACCAGATCTTGAATGCCATTGAAGTGTTGCATCTTGTGGCTTCAGCTTAATTTTGCTGACTGAATGCTGATGAGCACTTTGTCTAGATTCTAGACATCACATCAATACATACAAACAGGTAGATATAACAATCTATCCAATCTATCCATGATCGATGCAAATAGGTATGCCATGGTATGCCTGAAGATGTTGACATGTGCGTGTAAATTGGCAAATACTCGAATAGAGTGATAATAGACCTCCATGTTTTAACATTCGGAACAGCATGGACGTCCGATTTCCGAGTCTCCCAGCGATTTTCTTTTGTTTCTTCAAGGAAGAGGCCGAAAGATGCGGCGTTGTGGCCGATGTGGCCGATGTGGCCGATGTGGCCGATGTAGTGGTCGTAAATCCCTCAGCCAAAGCCTTTTGGTCCACCTGCGGGATGATCCAACGAGAGTGTACACATACATTAGTAGCTACGTATAGTTACATATACATTAATACACATCATATTCATACAGCATACATATTCAATCATATTCAACAATAGATAATATATATATATATACAATATCTGTATGTATATAGATATATGTATATATATACATATATAGTCAAAGTTATTTGGTGGAATGCCCTATGCTCGGCGCAATCACTAAGACACCCGTGTGGCTACGAGGCACTGCTTCATAGGGAAAGGACCCCTCAGTGCTAGGAATCGCTACTGAACCTAGATGGACCATAACCATGAAACCGGGATTTATTGGGTCCCCGCTTCTTACATGGAAACACTGAAATGTATTGGCCATATCCCTAGTGAAATCATCTTCAAAATCCCACTTTTACTGCATCCCGGTCATGTAAATTCACTGTCAAATCTCATCACCCGGAGACCAACGTCCCCAACTGCAATGCAGCTTTCTTCGTGTTCACTGCCGCGGGCACAAGGTCTCAATCCGTTGCAAGAGTGAAACACCATGGATCGACAACATCAATTGCACACGCTCCAAGAACCTGCAAGGGCGGTGCAAATGTTTCAGTAGGGACGAAGTGCTGCGTTGGAACCGTGTGGACATTCTGAATTCAGGATCATTCTCAAGATATGGTCCAGACTATCCATATTCCATTATGTGATATGGTTGGGCCACGCGCAAAGTGGGATGGTTTAACCAAGAAAAATGGGATAGCAGTTTCAAATATGGAAATGACTGCTATATGCCTATAAATATCTAAATTTTGCAGATATGATATACCTTTAAATTATATACCGGGTCTAGAATATGTATATCCGCCGACCCCGGCCTTCGCCAAGGCAGGGGCGGCGCCTGGGGACCACCGTAGGTGTGGAACTTGTCTTTCTTAGCTTCAAATGCCTCGCAGCTTCGATCAGCTTGCCGTTTGCCTCCACAGCCCTCTCTTGTTAGGGCGTTGCACGACAAGAGCTACCCCCCCAAGGCCAGATCAATGGCTTCTTATGGGCGTTCAAGCGTACCGTATGCCAGCCCTTAGACGCTTAAAACGCTTAAAACCCTTAAAACCCTGCAAAAGCTTCTCGGAACGCCCAACCGCGCATGCAAAAGCTACCCCAAGGCCAGATCCATGCCTTCTTTTGGGTGTTCAAGCCTGCCGTTTGCCAGCCTGAGCGCGTCAAACGCTGCAAAAACCTCCTGGAACGCCCAACCGCGCAGACAAATGCTACCCCAAGGCCAGATCAATGGCTTCTTATGGGTGTTCAAGCCTGCCGTTTGCCAGCGCTTGCACGCTTCAAAAGGTACCCCAAGGCGGGATCAATGGCTTCTTCTTGGCGTTCACGCTGCCCTTTACCACCTTTCTCCTTCACAACGCCGTCCTTGACAGAAAACTGGTTCCCACAGACCGTTCGATTGTCTATTTGCCCTGTCTTCACGTCACTGGCCACATTCCCTTTGCAAGCGGGGCAAACGTAAACATACGCTTTCTCCTTCACAACGCTGTCCTTCACAGAAAACTGGTTCCCACAAACGCTTCAAGGCTACCGCTTGCGAGCCTCCCAACCCCTTACACACTGTCTTGTTGGGGCTGCAAGAGTGCCAGCCTTCAAACCCCTCAACGCTCCGCAGCGGCCCTACACAGTGTTTTGCTGAAGCTTCTACTCAAGACTCCCGGTTGCCAACCTTCAAACGCGTCAACCCTCCGCAGCGGCCTTACACACTCTATTCTTGGGGCGTTACGCCGTTTGCCGGCCTTCAGACGCGTACTGTCCGCAGCGGCACTACACATTCTGTCGCTGGGGGTTCACGAGTGCCGTTTGCCAGCCTTCAGACCTTTATTCAAACCGTTAAACCCTCCGCAGCGGCTCTACACACTGTCTTGTTGAGGCTTCAGGACCACCGTTTGCTAGCCTTCAATCCCTAGCCACACTGTCTTGTTGGGGCTTCAAAGGGGGGTCGGCGGCACCCGGGCGTTACCGTTAGCCCATTCTATATAGATATGTGGGGATTGAGCCAGCTAAATATCGGATACGGAACACCATGATATATCATTGATATATCCCCAAAATCCCAAAAATGGGATACTTGGGGTTTACATGGATTTACTAAGTCTAAGTCTAAATGTCTAAGTTTACCGCGGAAATTCCGCAAAATCGGTGGTTCCCTGATTTTGAGCATCGCTCTGCATATCCCGGGCCTGTCCAGTTGGATTTCTTCACCGCTGTCCCCAATGGTTTCGCTGAAGATTGTTCGATCGTTGCGCGCCAGCGGGTGCTGTCGTTGAAAGCGCTGCCACTGGGCGGCTGTACTAAGGCGCAACCTGGCGCCGTTGCACAACAACTCGAAATCACCTCGGGCTGAGCTGAGGGCCTCCCATGGTGAAAAACAAAAGAAAAACTGTTGAAAAACAAATGACAGAATTTGAAAAAATGGTTAGGGCAATCATTTCAGACAATCGGACTGAAATTTGAGGAGAGGTTGTAGCAGCACTCAATGAACTATGAAAGTATTGGACATGACTGGCAAGTGGGCTGCAACTTGTAGCACAGGGCAACACATCCTCAAAATAAGTTGATGGCATAGTCATAGTGGCACTTTTGTTCCTAGCGCCATAAGATATCCCTGTGATGTGCAGAGGATCTGTAAACCATGTCTCCATAAGCTGCCAGAATCCATACTCGCACGTGTTCTTCCGCTGCATCGCTCCTGGCCTACCTTTTGACTGCTAGGTTCTACTTTGTCAAATTGATTTTCCATGTGTGTTTTTTGATAAATCATGAGAGCTTCTCTGAAAGTAGTGCATCCCATGGGTATCCCCAATTGGTGGATCTGTTCCATCATCTTCCCCATCAAAGTTCTGCCATTTTGGGATGTTCACCAAGGTGCATCGGTCAGCAGATGCGTCATACCAGTAAGAATATGGATCGCCGCCTGTTTCGCCTGTTTCCTCAGCGGTGAGTTGCGGAACTCGTTGTGTCTGGCTTGGTTCCTGGTGGCCATGAAAGATGATCAACATCTTCAACTGACTGGCCCACACTTTTTCGCCGTTTTGGGATGGGGCAATTGCTGCAAAGTCTAGAAGTTGTATCACTGCAGGCAAGCATCTAGAGCTGGAATTTGATCAAGTACCACACCTTCGAGCATGAGGTAGTGGCGACCATCTGTATCCACGCAATAGGGATATGGCACCGAACTGTTGCCTAGCACGCAGAGGCTGATTCCGAATACTAATCAATTCATGCACAGCTCAAAGCAGACGTTGATTATCGAAGGAAGTTTAGACGTCAAACTTCCGACAATATGGACAGATGAAAAGCAGAGATGGGGAGAGTCAGAGAAGAGAAGAGAAGAGAAGAGAAGAGAAGACAAGACAAGAGAAGAGAAGACAAGACAAGAGAAGAGAAGAGAAGAGAAGAGAAGAGAAGAGGAAGAGAAGAGAAAAGAAGAGAAAAGAAGAGAAGAGAAGAGAAGAAAGAAGAAAGAAGAAAGAAGAAAGAAGAAAGAAGAAAGAAGATCAAAAAAGAGAAAGTCTCCGAAGAAAGAAGATCCAGGTGCGCGAAAAGGTAGGAAAGTCGCGAAACACTGTGTTTTTCCAATGATTTGTGGCTCCGGAGGGTCGAAAAGTGGGCTCGCTAAAGCGGCGGGTGCGGAGCCATCTAGCCAGATGAGAGATGAAAAAGTGCACGCCGTTGTGGCGCGAAGCACATTTCGAAGTCAAAAGTGTAAAAACTGACGAAGCACTTTTGGAAGTTGAGATGTCGAAAAAGTGCATGCCGTTGTGGCGCGAAGCACATTTCGAAGTCAAAAGTGCAAAAAACTGACGGGTTCGGGGCACTTTTGGAAGTTGAGATGTCGAAAAAGTGCACGTCGTTGTGGCGCGAAGCACATTTCGAAGTAAAAATGTTAAAAACAACACATGCTCGGACCACTTTTTGACAATCAGATGTCGTTTCGCGTGGCAAGCGCAAGGGATTGTGCACGTTGTCAAAAGTGGGCAAAAAGTGAGGGTTTTGTCGCATTTCCAAAAACCATGGCAGGTGTGGGGCATTTGAAGAGGATGTTAGGAGGTCCGGGCGCTGATTCCTGAGAGGGGTTACATTTTGGAGCATCAGAATTTCATGTTTGCTGAATGATTTTGCATGACAGGTGCAGCACTTCGTATGACCTGGCATCACTTTTTCGTGGCAGGCGCAATACTTTAGACAGGTGGAGTGGAGAAATCGCAAAACGCATTGGTACGAGGCCGTCAGCTTTGCACTCAACTTTCCATTTTTGAAGGACATCTCGCAGAATTGCTTCGTTTTTGATGTTATCAACTTTAATCAACTTTAAAAAATGAGGAAGTCTCGCAGAATTGCTTCGTTTGTGACGTTGTCAAGTTCAAAAATTGAGTTGGTCTCGCTGAATTGCTGCGTTTTTGATGTTGTCAAGTTCAAAAACTGAGGAAGTCTCGCAGAATAGCTTCGTTTTCAAGCTTGCAGATAGATACACTACACCAATTACACAACACCAATTACACTACACTTCACTAAGTACATCTAATTCCATCTAATTACACTACACTACAACTACTACAACAGCAACAGCAACAACAACAACAAAAACAACAACGACGACAACAACAACAACAACAAGAAGAACTACTACTACTACTCCTCCTCCTCCTACTACTACTACTACTACCACTACCACTACCACTACCACTACCACCATCACCACCACCACCACCACAGCTACAACTACAATTACAGCTACACTACATTACACTACAATACACTAAGTATTAAACTGCAGTACATTGCAGCTACAACTCCACTACACTACAACTACAACTACAACTACACCTACAACTACAACTGCAACTACAACTGCACTACACCACACTACATCCAGCAGTTGTGGTGAGGTGACCACTGCAACCATTGCAACCACTCCAGAAAACACAACTCCAACCACCTTTCGGTTCATCAGTGGATTCGCTCTGCCATCCGTGAGTCACAACAGCCAACCTCTCCTATAGGTTTCATATTTTTGAAACTTCCGCCACCGCCTCGTGCGGTACTACTGGTACATTTTAGATAAACGAAGGAAGTTTAGAAGTTAAACTTCCGACAATATGGACAAATGAAAAGCAGAGCTGGGCAGAGGCAGAGAGAAGAGAAGAGTAGAAGAGAGCAGATCAGAGAAGAGAAAGAGTCAGAAGAAAGAAGATGCAGATGCGCGAAAAGGTAGGAAAGTCGCGAAACACTGTGTTTTTCCAATGATTTGTGGCTCCGGAGGGTCGAAAAGTGGGCTCGCTAAAGCGGCGGGTGCGGAGCCATCTGGCCAGATGAGAGATGAAAAAGTGCACGCCGTTGTGGCGCGAAGCACATTTGTAAGTGAAAAAGCTGAAAACACCTCACGTTTGGACCACTTTTGGAAGTTGCGATGTCGAAAAAGTGGACGCCGTTGTGGCGCGAAGCACATTTCGAAGTCAAAAGTGTAAAAAACTGATGGGTTCGGAGCACTTTTGGAAGTTGAGATGTCGAAAAAGTGCACGCCGTTGTGGCGCGAAGCACATTTCGAAATCAAAATGTACAAAACACACCACGTACGGACCACTTTTGGATGTTTTTGTGCACCTTGTCAAAAATGATCAAAAAGTGAGGGTTTTGTCGCATTTCCAAAAACCATGGCAGGCGTGAGACATTTGAAGAGGATCTGCAAAGATGCATTTTCTGTGGCAGGCGCAGTACAAAAAACATGTTCATGAGAGATGTTAGGAGGTCAGGGCGCTGATTTCCTCAGAGGGGTTGCATTTTGGAGCCTCAGATCTTCCAGTTTGCTGAATGATTTTGAGTGACAGGTGCAGCACTTCGTTTGGCCTGGCATCACTTTTTCGTGGCAGGCGCAGTACTTTAGACAGGTGGAGTGGAGAAATCGCAAAACGCATTGGCACGAGGCCGTCAGCTCTGCACTCAACTTTTCATTTTTGAAGGAAGTCCCGCAGAATTCTTTCGTTTTTGATGTTGTCAACTCCGAAAATGAGGAAGTCTCGCAGAATTGCTTCGTTTTTGACGTTGTCACGTTCAAACATTGAGGAAGTCTCGGATAATTGCTTCGTTTATGATGCTGTCAACTTTGAAACATGAAGAAGTCTCGCAGAATTGCTTCGTTTTTGACGTTGTCAAGTTCAAACATTGAGGAAATCTCGCAGAATTGCTTCGTTTTTGATGTTGTCAACTTTGAAAAATGAAGAAGTCTCGCAGAATATCTTGGTTTTCAAGCTTGTAGATAGACAGATAGACAGATAGACAGACAGACAGATAGATGAAGAGACAGCTAGATAGATAGATAGATAGATAGATAGATAGATAGATAGATAGATAGATAGATAGATAGATAGAGAGATAGAGAGATAGATAGAGATAGATAGAGATAGATAGAGATAGATAGAGATAAGTAGAGATAGATAGAGATAGATAGAGATAGATAGAGATAGAGATAGAGATAGAGATAGAGATAGAGATAGAGATAGAGATAGAGATAGAGATAGATAGAGATAGAGATAGAGATAGAGATAGAGATAGAGATAGAGATAGAGATAGAGATAGAGATAGAGATAGAGATGGATAGATAGATAGATAGATAGATAGAAAGATAGATAGATAGATAGATAGAGATAGATAGAGATAGATATGGATAGATAGATAGATAGGTAGATAGATAGATAGAGATAGATAGATAGATAGATAAAGATAGATAAAGATAGATAAAGATAGAGAGATAGATGGATAGATGGATAGATGGATAGATGGATAGATGGATAGATGGATAGATAGATAAGATAAGATTAGATTAGATTAGATTAGGTAGTGGATAGATAGAAAGGGCGAGAGAGAGAGAGAGAGACAGACAGACAGACAGACAGATAGAAAGAAGGATACGTAGATAGATAGATTAATAGATAGATAGATACATAGATAGATAGATAGATAGATATATAGATAGATGGATAGATAGAGAGATAGATAGATATCTAGAAAGAAAGATAGATAGATAGAAAGAAAGATAGATAGATAGATAAATAGATAGATAGATGCATAGATACATGGATAGATAGACAGATAGATAGATAGAAAGAAAGATACGTAGATAGATAGATAAATAGATAGATAGATACATAGATAGATAGATAGATAGATAGATAGATAGATAGATAGAAAGATAGAAAGATAGATAGATAGATAGGTAGGTAGGTAGGTAGATAGAGAGAGATAGATAGATAGATAGATAGATAGATCGATAGATAGATAGATATATAAGATAAGGTAAGATAAGATAAGATAAGATAACATAAGATTAGATTAGATTAGATTAGGTAGTGGATAGATAGAAAGGGAGAGAGAGAGAGAGAGAGAGAGACAGACAGACAGACAGACAGACAGACAGACAGATAGATAGATAGATAGACAGATAGATGGAGAGACAGATAGATAGATAGATAGATAGATAGATAGATAGATAGATAGATAGATAGATAGATAGATAGATAGACAGATAGACAGATAGACAGATAGATAGATAGAGATAGATAGAGATAGATAAATAGATAGATAGATAGATAGATAGATGGATGGATGGATAGATAGATAGATAGGTAGATAGATAGATAGATAGAGAGATAGATAGATAGAGATAGATAGATAGATAGATAGGTAGATAGGTAGATAGGTAGATAGGTAAGGAGAGAGAAAGAGAGAGAAAGAGAGAGAAAGAGAGAGAAAGAGAAGAAAGAGAGAGAAAGAGAGAGAAAGAGAGAGAAAGAGAGAGAAAGAGAGAGAAAGAGAGAGAAAGAGAGAGAAAGAGAGGAGACATCAATCACCTTTCGATCCATCAGTGGCTTGGCTCTGCCATCCGTGATTCACAACAACAAATCTCTCCTATAGATTTCCTATTTTTGAAACTTCCGCCACCGCCTTGTGCGGTACTACTGGTACATAATGAATCATAATGATTTATACATTTTTACCGATCACCGGTGGCCAGAAAATCATTTCAGACACAATCTCTTGGACTCCTTGCAGCAGTTCTCGAAAAACACTTAGCCGATGCGTCCATTTTGCAGAACACCACCCATGTCACCACTGAATCTCAATCCCCAAATGAGTGGTGTACAAACATTGATGGTGATGGCTGCTAAGTAGTAGTTTATCTTGGTTCGACGAGGGGCCCACATCAAGTAACCGAATCAACCTGGCCAGTTGTAGATCCATCGAAAATCAACCAGGTCGCGGCCAAGAACTCAACAAACAAACTAACGAACTAACCAGCTAACTAGCTAGCTAACCTAACCTAATTACGTACCTACTTCAAGAATTAACCAACTAATTAGCTAGCAAATTAACCAACTAATTAGCTAGCTACCGAAGCCATCGAAGCCCAGCGACCTACCGGAGATACAAAGTCCACGATCTCTGCTGCTGCAGTGAACGAAAAAATCTCCTCGATGTGGCCAACTTTCACACGGGGAAACGAGCCGCTCACCAATTTGGATGGCAATTTAATGCGAATTAATGCAAATTAAGCATGTGTGTCTGGCTGTTTT